TCACCTCTTCTGCATTTATTAAGCTGGAATGTTTCTGTAAAGAACTCACTCTCCTGACTACTTCGCTATCCTGGGATGTGGCTTATACAGGATCTCTGCAGATGATGTGTTCTCTGTTGTCTTATTTGTCAGTTTTCATAATAATGATGTTTTAAAAGGTATTATGGACTTGTGACTTGATACATGGTTGCTTTTCCATTCATTTTCAGTGTCTGTCTATTCTGATTATCTTTGTCCAGTGGGGCTCCTTTAAGTTGGCATCTGTGTCTTTTTGCCCCGACCTTACTTATCTTTCTTAGGGTCCTTGCTTGTAGGCACACGAAATGTCTCAGAATCATTTTGAAATTTCTTGCTGGGATTTGGTATTAACCATTTTTCCAAGTTCAAAGCGATGTGTGAGGGTCTGGGATTTTCACAATAGCTGTTCAAGAACCATGCAGGATGGATGCAGCCACGTAAGATGGTGGCAGTAGGCTCGCACGGTGTGCTTGGACTGGAAGTTGTGTAGGAAATTCCCCCCATTCCAGGAATATGTGGGTACTTTAAGAGAGGTAAAACAAAGTGGCCCATCAAATAGACACAAAACAAAAATCGTCATTATGCCGCTGGTAGGGGAGAAACCGCTAGTAGGCGTAAAGACGTTGGGTAGGAAAGGCGCTTGACAAAAGCATAACAGAAAGTGCTTGAGTTTGGAAGTGGAATAGGAAGGCTGCTGCTGCGCCAGGGCTAAGCAGTTCCATAAAGCAGGGTTTTCAGCTGGAGATTTGCTAGGTCATCTTTGGAAAATGGAAAACAGCAAAACCCAAAAAATCCATTTATGGAGCCTGTCTCGGGACTGTTGAGCACTGCTCTACTCCGGGGATGTCTGTGCTCATTTGCTTTACAAAAGACCCCTGTGGGATTCTGTTTCGGGCAACCCTCTTTAAGGACTAAGGGATTAAAAGTAGCCGCTCAGACATTGCTAGTGCAGTTATGCCGGGCAGGAGCGACTAAGGCCAAGGATGGGGAAAAGCAGTGGAAAGGAGAGGAAGGAAAGGATGGAAAAAATACAAATTTGTCTTAAACATTTTCATATGGTATTGCATTAATATTGTTAACATTCATAGAAGGATTCAAAGAGAAGCTGACCCCTAGATGTGTGTCTGAGGCCAGATAGAAATGGGAAGATGGGCAGAGATTGCTGGTTTGGGGGAGGAGATGATGGTGTTAGGGGGAAAGGATGTCCTGAGCTAATTCCTTGCGGGCTTTGTGGACCCCACCCCCACCCCAGACCAAAGCCATCAGGACATTGGGAAAGACGAATCCCGTCACCACCCAAGGGAAGGTGGCTGGGACCTGAGGGTGGAGTTCAGCAGCCAGGGTTGGTATAAAAACCAAATACGTGGGCCTTGGGGGGCTCGCGCTCTCCCTCACCCCCTGGCTTCCCGGCTTCTGGCTCGTGGCCAGCTCTCAGCGCCATTTGGGATTCCAGCCATTTGGGATTCCAGATCGGCGGATCGGGTAGGATGCATTTAAGACTTTGTCTCCCGCTTTTCTCCCTGAGCTGTCCATTTCCTCACTTGCCCTTCCCTGGTCAATAAACCTTTTATGAACCTTTCGTGTGTGCCCGCAGTGGAGGAGTGAGAAGTCCTTTTAAGCGCATGGGGGAGGACCCACAGTCAGGCACCCCGTTTTGTATTGGGGCTGCCCTATAACAGTGGGACATGTTGAGCATTGAGATGACAACTGTGGTATCAGGTGATGATCGGTCTCCAGGGGCTTGAAAGGTGTTCTGTGTCCTGCTTTTTCTGAAAACTTTATTCACTTTTTGGGAACGTACTCATCGAGTCATACATAAGTCATGCTGTTATAGGGCAACCCCGATATTGAACGGGTTGCCTGGCTGTGGGTCCTCACCCGTGCGCTTACAAGGGACTTATGAATACTCCACTACAGGCACACACAAAAGGTTCATAAAAGGTTTATTTACAAGGGAAAAGGAAATAAGGAAAATGTACAACTCAGGGAGAAAATAGGGAAATAAAGTCTTTAATGTGTCCTACCCGATCCAATGACCTGGAAACCCAAAAAGCACTCTCCGAGCTGGCCGGACGCTGCGAGCTGGCAGAGAGTCAAAATGGGGGGAACCCTTCAAAGCCCACGGGTCTGGCTTTATACCACCCTGGCTGCTGAACCCCACCCTCAGGTCCCAGCCACCTTCCCTTGGGTGGTGATGGGATTTGGAGTTCCCAGTGTCTTTGGCTTTGGCCTGGGGTGGGGGTGGAGTCCACAAAGCCTATATGGAATCAGCTTTAGGACATCCTTTCCCCCTAATAATACTGTTTTGATTGCACAAGCTAATAACTTAAGCTTTCATTTGATAAATGTGATCACAATAAAAAATAATCATCTGTTTAAAATAAAATGAGAAACAGACTGGGGAAAGCATTATGTCGAGTATAAAATGTTAATATCAGTAAATACTGTATTTGTTGAAACAAAAAAGTCAGTAAGCCAGACAGAAGACTTGAAAAGATAATTCTCATGCCTGGAAAATACAATTCATTCATTCATTTCTTCAATAAACATCTACTGAGGGCCTCTCTGGTGGCACAGGGGTTAAAGTCTCAGCCCTATCAAGCTATTGCCAGCCACTGTGGCATGAGTTTGATCCCCTGCCAGGGAGCTGACCCACATGGCGCAGCAAACTGCTCCTGTCTTGCACACTGTGCCCCTCAGCAGTGTATTTCAGTGGATCTGCCTGTTCTGCTCCCCACTCTGTCTCTGGTGTATCCTCTCATACACACACACCCCCTCCCCCCCACACCTCTGGCCTGTACCCCAGTTCTTGTATGCATAAATAAATAAAAATCTTTCAAAAAAACAAAACATCCACTGAGCTCTTTGATCAGCCCCTGTTCTGAGTGCTGACAGGCGAGATCTCTGAGGTCTCAGATCACCTCTTGTTACAGGGCAGGGAGAGGGGCAGCCCAAACCCCGCAAACCTGCCTATTCTAAATGGGCTCTGCCATCTGCCGCATCAACACAAAACATAGGAGACTTTAATGGGAAGGAACTTTAATAAAACTAGGAAACAATACAGGAAAGGCAAAGAGTCTAGTTTCTAAATGAAGCACCCAAAGTGACCCGTCCCCTCGTGGGTAAAAGTCCATCCATATGGGATCGGCCCAGAGCAAGGTCCCAAAGCCTGCCACAAGTCTAAAGCATCTTCCAGTGGGGACCCTCAGAAAAGGGTCAGAAACAACCAGACAAGCCCGGAAGGAAAAGAGCAAAATCAACATCAAGATAAAAGCTGCCATTGTCACCTCCCCATGGGTCTCCCCCACATCTGTGTTACCCAGTCCACCACCAAAAGACAAGCACAGTTTCTTCACGTGTCTCTAGGCTCCATGCGCCTCCTCCAGGTCTCCTGGCTCCTTCCTCAGTCTCTTCTGCAGCTTCTCTCCCTGCTCAGCTCCACCCTCCCTTGGGTGGGGCAGGGAACCTCCCCCTTTCCTGGGCACCACCCTGTTACAATCTGAGAGATGACTATACTGTCCCAGACACAAGGATTTCAAATGATTGTGGTGCTGGTAAGGATATACGCTAGGACAGTGAGGTGTGGAGAGTGGCTTTTTTGTTTTTTTAAGATTTATTAATGCATATAAGAACAGGGGTACAGGCCAGAGGTGCGGGGTGTGAGAGGATTCACCAGAGACAGAGTGGGGAGCAGAACAGGCAGACGTAACAAAATACACTGCTGAGGGGAACAGCAGGCAAGACAGGAGAGGTCTGCTGCGCCATGTGGGTAGCTCCCTGGCTGGGGATCGAACTCTAGCTGACGAGGATGCATATAGCTTCGTAGGTTGTGCCTTAACCCCCTGCACCACCAGGGAGGCCCAGCTTTTTTGTTTTTATTTATTTTGACTTTTCCAAGGGAAAGCCTTCATTGGTTGGTAGTTGTGTAGCTGGAGCCTAGAAAGATCTTTTGTTTTTTGTGGAAATTACTGAATGTTTTTTCCTCCCTTTTCCCACAAGATAGTGTTCATTTTGTTCTTCTGGGAGGGAAAGTTCCTCTGAAAAATGTTCACATTTTTTGTTGTGGCTTCATTATTCAGTGACTCGTCCCAATTTGATTCTGCCATGTCACTGACAGATCAGAGAAGAGATGCTGGGTCACCAGGTCGCCAGGCCGGGCACTGGGTGACTTTAGCTGCAGCCACACACAAATGCAAAGGTTCCTGGAAGGAGGCAGCTGGAGCTTATCTCTGTCCTTTGTTATTTAATTGTAGATGGGAAACCAAATGTTTAAACTAATTAAAGTTTAGAAAGTTCAGTGCATTTCTTTAAAGCAACATAATGAGTAGTTTTGCGAATGGAAAGTTAACTGTGTGAGGAATGCTCTTTAACAAGGAAACATTTTGTGTTTTTCCATATGTTACTGAAGATTGATCCAGAAAAAGAGGGCAGTGATGCCTGTTACTTTGTCCTGACATATATATTTGAGATGAAATGTGGGAACTTTCCAAGTTTGATAAAAAAGTAATGGGGGCCTCCCTGGTGACGCAGCGGTTGAGCGCTGGGTTGCGAAGCTGTCCGCGGTCTCTGCGGCACCGGTTCGATCCCCGGCTGCTCCCCGGCCACCGGAGGAGGGTCCCGCATGGCGTGCAGGCCTCTCCTGCCGCCCACTGCTCCCCTCAGCAGTGTGCTTCGGTCCTTCTGCCTGCTCTGCTCCCCACTCTGGCTCTGGTGAATTCTCTCACCCTCCCGTGCTTCTGACTGTACCCAGTGCTTGTATAAATAAATAAATCTTTTTTAAAAAAAAGTAATGGGCTGGGAAAACAAGTTTAATTTTTTTAAATTTCCTGTAGTTGATAACTTACTGTTGAATATACAAGATTTATAGGGAAGATTTAAAGCAGTGGACCCAGACATAGTGCTAAGATAGAAGGTGGTAATAAGTAGCTTTTATGCTCATTTTTAAAAATTCTAACTACCTTTAAAAATTTTTTTCTTTTTAGAGGAAACTTGGATATAACTTCAAAAGAAGGTTTGATTCTTTATCTCCGGACTGCGTCAACATAACAAGCCCCTCAGGATGTCGGGAGCCTCAGTGAAGGTGGCTGTCCGCGTGCGGCCCTTCAATTCTCGGGAGACCAGCAAAGAGTCCAAATGCATCATCCAGATGCAAGGCAACTCAACCAGTGAGTCCCTCCCTTCTTGCTGTGACTAGAACAAATGATGATTTGGTTGTTAACACTTCGAATTTTGCAATTCTGAATGACCTACTGCATACTTTCTCTGTGGTATTTGCTATAGCATAATTAAAAATGTGTACTGTTTTATTCTTTACAGCTGAAAAATCTCTGAAAACTGTACATGTGCTATTAAGTCGAAATCTTAATGATAACAAAGGTGAAAGCGGTGATTTATACAAAGTAATGACTTGGAATATACCTGTCTTGGCCCCAGGGTTGATTATTTTTCTTGATTTTAAGTAGCACTTGAACTTGCCAAGAGGATCTTAAAAGTTGCTCTCTTTCCTCATGATGGTTCTTTGAGTTGAATAACAGATGCAGATATAATAGATCTTAAACTTGTGAGTTATTGATAAGATTACCAGTTATTATTTCCTAGCTTATTTTATAGAGTCACTAAGTTGAAAATGACTTACGCTGGTTTCTTTGGTACCTGCACTGATAATTACCTGATAAGAATTGGTAGGCATATTATTACTTAGAGTCATAGTAGGTTTTACCATCACGAACTCTTTTCAACTTTGTGATAAAGTAGAATTGTCATTTTTCCGGAAAGAAGTTAATGGTGAATTGTTGGGGAGACCCTTCTGATTTGTGCTGATTTGTAGTTAGGGTTTGCACAGTATTGAACTGAATATTTAGCCAAATGGATCTAGCTAATCCTCTCTATTTCATTCCAGTTTTCGTGTTTGTGCTGCCTACATGAGCATATTAAAGTCTGACTATTGATAGTTTATTTCTGTGGAAAATACATTTAATTGTAACTTAATTTGAAGGGATTTTTGCTTATTGGCATGTGCCTCTAAATTTGCTGATATATATCATGCGTTTTTTCTTTTTTTTTTTTCTCTCTTTAATTTTATTATGGTAACAGTGGTTTACAACACTGTACATGGGTTAGGGGTACAGGGTCATATCTCTTGAGATGCATATCACCACCCCACACCCACTCCACAGTCTTCCACAGCCCATGGGCCACTCTACTGTCCACTCTCCATGTTCTGCTCCACCTCTGGAAGCCTTAATTCTACAGGCAGATTTCTAGACTTTGTTATTGGTTTGGTTTTGACTTACCCTTAGTTTTTGTCTCTTTATAATCCACTTTTTAAAAAGAGATTTATTGGGCCTCCCCGGTGGTGCAGTGGTTGAGCGCTGGGTTGCGAAGCTGCCTGCGGCCTCTGCAGCGCCGGTTCGATCCCCAGCTGCTCCCCGGCCACCAGAAGAGGGTCCCACATGGCGCGCAGACCTCTCCTGCCGCCCGCTGCTCCCCTCAGCAGTGTACTTCGTTCCTTCTGCCTGCTCTGCTCCCTGCTCTGGCTCTGGTGAATTCTCTCACCTTCCCGCGCTTCTGACTGTACCCAGTGCTTATATAAATAAATAAATAATAAATAAATAAATAAATAAATAAATAAATAAATCTTGAAAAAATAAAGAATCTAATTGTGAAAAAAAAAAAAAAAGAGATTTATTTATTTGTGCATACAAGAGCTGGGGTGTAGACCAGAGGTGTGGGGGAGGGGAGAGTAGGTGAGAGGATTCACTAGAGCCAGAGTGGGGAGCAGAACAGGCATATGTACTGAAATACACTGCTGAGGGGAGCAGCCGGTGAGACAGGAGAGGTCTGCTGTGCTCTTGGGTCACCTCCCTGGCTGGCCGGGGATCAAACTCATACTGCAGTAGCTGCAGATAGCTTCATAATGTTGCGTCTTAACCCTTTGCACCACCAGGGAGGCCCCGATGTGTGAGGTTTTCTTCTAGAGATTAAGCAGCAACATCTTCTAAGATAGTTTTTTCCCTTTTGCTCAGCTGCACAGTATAGGTAATAGCTTATTTTTTAGTCTTGACCACACTGTATATTTTAAATAACTGGATAGTATAATTCATGTTTATAATGAATTATTGTTTCCTTCGTGATCTTAGCATGAAAGAATGTGCATTAAGTCGAAAGGGCCTTCCTCATTAGCAGGAATCTAGGTGTGCGGTGGTGTGCTGAGTACTAAAAAAAATGAACGCATCTCCAGGAGAACATACTGTCAGAGCATGTGGTAAAATTAAAGGTGTCTGGCCCTACTCCTGGGTTTCTGCAGTTTTGGACAGTTATGAGAAATAGATGTGGTCCTGTCTGATTTTGAAGCTATTTTTCAGTCATCTGAATGAAAGCTCAGTAAGAGATTATTGATGGTGAATGTTTGGTGTTTGAACTCAGTTTCTGAGACATGGAGCTCCCTTGCTGACCTTATTATTTTGATTACATAGAAAATAATGTCAATTTAGGGAAAAATAGGAGTTTGTGAGTTTCATTTATCCATTCTTGCTCATCTCCAGAACTGAAAATGTTGATATTTTTGGATGAAATATTAAAGGAGAAATGCCGGGCCTCCCCGGTGGCGCAGCAGTTGAGCGCTGGGTTGCGAAGCTGCCCGCGGCCTCTGTGGCGCCGGTTCGATCCCCGGCTGCTCCCTGGCCGCTGGAGGAGGGTCCCACATGGCGTGCAGACCTCTCCTGCCGCCCGCTGCTCCCCTCAGCAGTGTACTTCGGTCCTTCTGCCTGCTCTGCTCCCCGCTCTGGCTCTGGTGAATTCTCTCACCCTCCCACGCTTCTGACTGTACCCAGTGCTTGTATAAACAAAATAAACAAACAAACCAGCAAACAAATAAATAAAGCATGCCTCTATAAAAAAAAAAATAATAAAAAATAAAAAATAAAGGAGAAATGCCTGGTTTTTATTAAAAGAAATTAATACTTTGGTTAGAATAGCTAATACTTTGCTATGGCTCACAGGGTTTGGAATAATTTGGCTTCCTGCGAAGGGTGTTCTTGGAAAGCTAATTATCTAATTTTATGAGAAACTTTTCCTGTAGAAATTTTGGCAATTTTGGTTTTCTATTAAAGTTTTCTGTTTCTGTTTAATGTGGCAGCTTCTTAGTTATTTAACTATGTAGTACAAATAATTTTGAAGTGGAAGATTTTCAGTGAGCCACTTGTTATGTTTAGAAAGTATTAGTGGCTTGTTTTTTTTAGGGAAAAAAAAAACACTGACATTAAGATCTAGAGAGAGCGTGCATTTCGAACCTAAAATTGTTTTAAAAAAATTAAATGAATTCGCTACAGCAAAATTTTTGTTACACAAAAATACATGAAGCCATATATGTTAGCTGCATTAAAAGGCAGCTATGTGAGGGCCTCCCCGGTGGCGCAGCGGTTGAGTGCTGGGTTGCGAAGCTGCACGCAGAGCCTCTGTGGTGCCGGTTCGATCCCCGGCTGCTCCCCGGCCACCAGAGGAGGGTCCCACATGGCGCGCAGACCTCTCCTGCCGCCCGCTGCTCCCCTCAGCAGTGTGCTTCGGTCCTTCTGCCTGCTCTGCTCCCCGCTCTGGCTCTGGTGAATTCTCTCACCCTCCCGCGCTTCTGACTGTACCCAGTGCATGTATAAACAAAAAACAAACAAACAAATAAATAAATAAAAAAAAAACATGCCTCTATTAAAAAAAAAAAAAAGGCAGCTATGTGAGTGGCCTCCCTGGCAGTGCAGGGGTTCAGGTCTCAGCACTATCAAGCTATCACCAGCCGCTGCATCCTGAGTTCGATCCCTGGCCAGGGAGGTAACCCACATGGCGCAGCAGACCTCGCCTGTTTCCCTGCTGCTCCCCTCAGCAGTGTATTTCAGTAGATCTACCTGTTCTGCTTGCCACTCTGTCTCTGGTGAATCCTCTCAGACCCCACCCCTGTACTTCTGGCCTACACCCCAGTTCTTGTACACATAAATAAATAAAAATAAATCTTAAAAAAAAAAGCAGCTATGGGGCGAGTCTGGGCTGTTGCTCACAGAGATTATAGCTGATTGCAGATGGAATGCAGTGGAATGTTCCTGCTATGAGGTCTTTCCTGATAATGTAGAAGAGGGTGAAGGGGTACTTGGTACATATTAGTTATCAGACAAGTTAATTTTGCTTTACCTTTCTCTTGTCATGTGCTATACCATTTTCTTCCTGAATGTTTGTTCAAATATATACAAAATAATCATTTCTGTAAATGTTTTTGAAATGCATCAGTGCAAAATGAGACTGGGGTCTCTGGAGGGCCTGGCTTGGCTAAGTCCCAATTTTTTGCAGCCAGTAGTGGCATATTCCCCCCCTTCCTGGACCAGCTTTCCCTGCAGACTTGCAGAGGCTGAGTCCCTGGCGTGTGCCTGGCAGCAGCTCTGCTCCAGTGAGCTCCGCAGTGTGATGTCCTTACTCAAGGGGAAAAGGCAAAGGAAGACAGCTTACCAGCTGTCCACACGGGTCTGCCCACCCTCACCCCTTTCCAGGTCATCGTGTTGGGCACCGTTATTCCACGTACCGATACGTGATATAAGGCACTCACATGTATAACTTAAAAATGCCCTTCATTCTGAAAACAAAAGCAGCCAAATTATTAGGAAATACATAAAGCACAAAGCAGAACAAAATCACTTCCAGCCTCACCACTCAGAGTTGCCATTGAATCTTTGTGTTTTCCTCTCACCTTGTAATATATTAACCTTGTTATATAATTGGGATATTACATACTGTTTTGTAACTTGCTTTTTGAAATCTAAAATCTTAATGTTAAGTATTTTCTATATAACTTCTAGTGATGATATACAATTTTTTAATATGGATATATCAGATTTGATTTTGTTGTTTTTTTCCTTATGTGACACTCTAACATTCTTGAAGAGAAATGTCTGTGTACATTTCTGGATAATTTTCTGAGCAAAAAATCTTTCGAGGTATGATTAATTGAGTGAAGATACTCACATTTTATTAAAAATATTTACAGGAAGTAGTATCTCTAATAGGTATATTTTATGTTATAGGCAGATTATTTCGGTGTAATTACAGATTTTAATATTCAGAATAAACATTAGAAACCTAGAGTGTCTCTAAATACTGATCATTTAAAATTGCATAGTGATCTAGCTAG